CTATAGAAAAGCACTAAAAGTGTTTCAGTTAGTGTTTTCAGCTTGTTTATTTTCATATAAAAATACGGCATGCAGTTGCATCAAACAATAGTATAAACATAATTCAGTGTAAACTGATAATGGTAATAATCGCAATTTCAAGGGAATAATTGACAATTATGATTTTTGTCATAATCATCCAGCCCTACTGTTAGGTTTCTATCACAAGTTAGTGTACATGTAAGCAAAGTTGAAGTTATTGTCTGATAATCGAAAGCTGGTCACGCATGCGGTACATTCGGAGACACAACACTCACTCAGGTAACTGATACAAAGGTCAAAGCCAGACAGACTTCAGTTCCAGGTAAAGAGATGATAAACACTGGAATCCAGCACTTCAGTGACCTTTAATTAAATACACAGAATGAGACATTACTAACCGTAATACTCCACGTTACCCCACTGTACCCATGTACCCATCTGGCCATCTGCCAAACGCTGGCTGTAGGTAGGAAGACACACTGGCTGGATATAATCTAAAACAAAAGATGAAAAGATGTCAACTGAGAGGAAAATACACAGTCAAACGCAATACTTGTGAAAGCACACTAGAGGGAACAAAGAGCGCTCGCACTCAATTACCGGCAAAAAACTAAAAAATTTGCCGGTATTGTCTTTTGTTTCAACTCAAGGCCCCTTGGAAATAGAGGAGCTTTGTTCTCAGGACGAGCAACCTGAGACCGGGGCGAGGTTTTACTATAATGCTGTGTTCAGTCAGACAGGCCTGTAACATACCAGTACCTAATGAAAAACACCTCTAAACAGACTTTGATTAAACTACTGCCAGTAAAGACTTGTCCTTGTTACACAGAGCCATTTCCTTTATGAATGCATTCTTTTATGAACATACGTTTTGTATTTAAAGGGGTCATATGATGCGATTTCAAGTTTTCCTTTCTCTTTGGAGTGTTACAAGCTGTTCGTGAATAGATAAGATCCCTAAAGTGGCAAAGACTAAAGTCTCAAACCCAAAGAG